CCAAACTTATAAATTTTTTGCTTAGTTATTTATAAAAAAATAACTCTTACTTTGCAATTTTCCACATTGTTTTGGTAAAACATTACAAATTTTAGCTTTTTTTGATAAAAAAAAAACTATTAAATTCATAGAAAATAGCATTGGTCTAAAATACTAAAATTTTCTTAGTTTAATAAATTTAATAAAAGTAACCGACTTTCCCTATACCTTAGTTGACTCGTTTTTGAGATTTTTGACTTTTTTGAGAAATTCGTTAGCCAAAGCCAGTTTAACATAGTTTTTCATGAAAATAAAAAAATCAATGTTATTTAAATTTAGATGAAATATCATTGTCAGTTTTGAGTTCCAAGCAGTCCACCTCTCCCGTCTTCACCCTACTTGGCATATCTCCTCCAAATCGTGCAGGCCTTGTCATGGGTCTCAAAATCGGGCATTCCATTCGACTTATGGTAACATTTATTTTTCTCAAGTTCGGCATAATACCACAACAGTTGGTTCAAACCTGCGATCATTGAGTTATTTATAAAAGATCGCTCCAATGCGAAACATACCACAACCAAATGCAAACAAAACTAGAGTATAAATAAAGAAAAACTTGACTATGTCAATAATCATTCGGCTTAGTGAGATTTGAAGTGGCCCCAAGTGCGGATTTACGCTAAATATGTGAACCAATTTCAAGAAACTGCAAGTTTTTTCAAGGTAAGTTTTTTTTTCAATTATTTTTTTTAAATGACCTGAAAATCATGGCGGCTGCGAAAGCCCCCTCGGCTATCAACATGGGCTCAAAGGGGTTCCATTCCTCGCGCGGGTACCAAGGGTCCTCACCCAGAAACTCAGCTCTCTGAAAAAAAAATATTTTTTTTATTTTTTAATTAAAATTTTTTTTTTCACTTACTCGAGTTATGTAGATCGAACAAAGACGTAAAGACAGCCAAGCGGCGTAAAAAATATTTGTCACAAAATCGACCATGTTCCACAAGTCGGAAACGTATTCAATCAAGTTCGATTTCCATAAATGCTTGATTTCCTTGCAAACTTTGCCTGGAAAACGAGGGACATATAAATTTTTTCTACAACACACAATAGTGGGTGGCTAGGGACATGTACAGTTGTTGCCATGGTGATAATTGAAAATTTTGACCAGTGGCGGGGCTTTATTAATTCAAGGGGTCTCAATTAAGTTGACAATTGATTTTCAATTTTTTTTTCAAAAAACGCTCAATTTTTGTCTTATTTGCGAAAAAATTTTTAATTTCTTAAGTTTCTGCGTAAAAAATGCTTTAAATTTGTTTTGACAAAATATTACAGTGTTTTAGACCAAACTTATAAATTTTTTGCTCTCTTTAGGCTAAAAGTTTTTTAGCCCAATAAGTGTTTTAGTGAAAAACACTGAATTTATAAAAATAGATAAAAAGAACTTTAATTTAGTTTTGGCAATTTTTTACAAATTTTTTAATGGAAAATTCTGTTACATTCCTAGAAAATAACGCATCTTAGACTAAATTTATAAATTTTTTGTTATTTTTGGTCCATAATTTTCTCAGTTTATTAAGTTTCTTGGTGGAAAATCTACTCAAGTTTTAAAAAGTAGCAAAAAGAACTCTTACTTTGCAATTTTCCACATTGGTAAAATATTTGGTAAAATATTACAAATTTTAGCTTTTTTTGATAAAAAAAAACTACTAAATTCATAGAAAATAACACATTTTGGACCAAATTTATAATTTTTTTGCTATCTTTTGTCGAATTTTTTTTTAGTTTACCTAATAAGTTAAACAAAATAGACAAAAATAACTGTAACTTTGCGGTTTTTTACTTTTTTTGGGGAAATCTTACACATTTTTACTTTTTTATTAAAAAACAAAGAAAATAATGCATTTTATACTAGATTTATAAATTTATTGTTT